CACGCGCCAGCCAAATAGGCCGGCTTTTGGGTCTGTCAAAAATGGGCTGGTCTGTTGCCTGGATTGGGCTGGGTGTCAGGCAGCCCGACGGGCTGAAGTGAATTCTCTGACCCTCAGCTTGATATTTGGACTGGGTGCTGGGCAAATATCACTCCGGTGGACTTGCTCTTAACGGAGTGCAAACTACAACTTTTATTTTAGAGTAAATTGTAGCAATAGTTCCTCAATTTTAATCAAATTGGAGCAATGGTCATTCAACTAAAAATCCATTACCATTGGTCCCTCAACTTATCAAAATGTGTAGCTATAGTTCTTTTCATCAATTTCGTCAAAATTTTGTCAAAATAAGTTATGTTGGAATAACTATTTATATAATTAGGGTCATTCAACTCATCAAAATGTGTAATTATGGTCATTTTCGTCAACTACGTCAAAAGTTTTGTCAAAACGAGTTATGTTGGAAGGATCATTGCTGCAATTGGATTAAAGTTAAGGAACCGTTTCTCCAGTTGAATTAAAGTTGAGGGACCAATGGTAATGGATTTTTAGTTGAGGACCATAACTGCACATTTTAATGAGTTGAGAGACCACTGGTAATGAATTTTTAATTGAGGGACTATTGTTCCAATTGAGTTAAAGTTAAAGGACCATAGCTACAATTTACTCTTTATTTTATGACAGTGCAGCGTGTTTCAACAGTTAGCTACTCATTACTTAGAGTTTTGGGAAGAATAGTGTAAGTTTTTTGTTCGTAATGCGTATTTCTGCTCGCTATCGAGAACAAGTACAAATACAAAATGAAGCAGGTCGGTCTACTATATGCTATCAAGATGCACTACGCACCTACTCGAGTTATGGTTCGTTTGAAAGTGCTTTTAAAATAACTTAAACTGTTTTTGGTGAAATTTGATTTTGAGTTCTAAAAGCACTTTAATTGCTTTTTAGAAGTAGCACCAAATGTGTTTTTTTTGCAAAAAGTACTTAAAAGTGCTTTTCCAAGATGCACTTAAATTTTTACTAAAAATTGATTTTAAAAATTTTTTCACCAAAAACGTTTCCGATCATTTTAAAAATACTTTCAAACAAGTCCTTAATCTTCGGAGGAGAGCTTATTCAAGATGCCTCATGTCTGTGTGCAAGAGCCAAAATCCATCATATGTTTTGGAAGTCATACAAAGTGACGAAACATACAATTCAAATGTTATAATGCCAACATTGTCTGAAAATCACGTCTAATTGGAACAACGAAAGCCTAAGAGGCCTCGGCGGCAGGTTGAGTCACTCCACTCTTCACCAACAGTTTGCTCAGTGCATCAGGGGAGCACACCTGGTACTTCACCTTACCCGAAGGCAAGACAAAGACTTCCGCCAACTCGAGCTTATCGGATGTCAGACTAGTGCTGTCCATTGTCTTGCTCAGCACCTTCAGCGCAAGCTCAACTGCCTCTTCTCTTGTTATTTCATCCTTGTAGTCCTGCTTCAGCATTGACTGTGCTGCCTGGTTGTTTGCCCCAATGGCCGCAGCCTTCCAACCGCCATAGTTTCCACTTGGGTCGCTCATGTACAGCTGAAAACCGTAGTTTTTGTCCCAACCTGCAAACAGAAACGAAACGCCAAATGGACGGAGCCCACCAAACTGCGTGTAGCCTTGTTTGGTGTCACACAGAGATTGGACTAGTTGTTCAACAGGCATTGGCTCTTGGTAAGCAAATGTGTAGCGCTGTGCTTGGACCCTGGCTGTGTTGATCAAGATGTTGGCATCAGACATTATCCCAGCCACTGCACATGCGACGTGGTCATCAATCTTGTACATCTTCTCTGTTGATGTAGAGGTCTGAAGGAGCTTGGAAGTCACCTTCTTTTCACCTACCAACACAACTCCATCTTTCGACAATATCCCAATTGCAGTCCCTGCGTTTCCAATGGCCTCCATAGCATACTCAACTTGGTAGAGACGACCTTCAGGAGAGAAGATCGTCGTGCGGCTGTCATACCTTCGAGACATTTGATATCACACTGAAATAAGTAAAACAATGAAACTGATTAAATACCACCACATAAGAAGTATCAATGGCTAAGAACATGGAATTACAAATGAAATTTCAGGAATTAAATGAGTCAGGAATGCATCCAATAAACATGTCATCTTCAGAAATAGTATCTACAGAAACAATGAAAACGTATTCGAACAAATTGAAATGGCTCTTCTAATAAACCCTACAGTGGAAAGGAAGAAAAGAATAGTTCTTGTGGCTTCAAGTTAATAAAGTTAAAATAATTAAAACAGAACATACATCAGTAACATCACTTTTTCCAATGGTATGCACTCAAATTTGGACTCGAAGGGGTAAACTTCCCACAAAGTTGTCGGATTTAGAAATAATACATAGAAGACTGAAATTCACTACATGTTTTGCAGCTGCATTTTGACTCTAGCCGCAAAGAGTTCCTGCTTGTTCCCAACAGCTGAATGAATAAGAGGTTCCAAACTAAATTGCATACATATATACAGTTAATATTGGTCAAAATTACAGTATATTAAACCATATTTTAATAATTAGGTATGTGTCTGCAAATATTCTAACTTCCCAACAGACATATAAATAACGCATCTAGCATCGTCCACTTTCATGTTATTTTTTTTTTGAGAAGAAACAATTTTATTAAAGAATAGTGAAAAACACAGAAGTGGATAAGAAGTCCACCAACAAAAGGAAAATCCCAATAGGATTTGGCTACATTAGCCAATTCTAGACCTAGCTCACTTAACTGCTGCTAACAAATCCCACAGTATTTGAGATAGAGAACAATTATTAAACTCTTTAGTAACCGAAGCCCAAAAAGATGCCCAATATTTTACTCTCCCCCAAAGTACTTCTGCCCCCACTCCAGTATAGTCTTCAAAAATCCTTCTGTTGCGTTCCAGCCATATATTCCAAAAAATTGCCGATACCAGGCAACCCCACAAAGCTTTGGATTTTTTCCCTTTTCCAAGTGCCTTAAAATTGGTGCTTAGTAGCTCAAAACACCCTTTAGGAATGACCCAACTTACTTTAACCTCCTGAAACAGTTTCCACCATAGTTGGATCGAGTAGGAGCAATGAAGAAAGATGTGATTTACACTCTCCTCCTTAGCTTTACATAAACTACACCAATGTGGGGATAAACACATCAGAGGGTTTCTCCTTTGAATTTTGTCGCAAGTGTTGAGACTCCCAGTGGCCACAAGCCATACAAGTATTTTAACCTTCGGAGGAGCTTTTGATTATCTGCCGCAATCACTAATACTTGAAGTAAGAAAGTTAATATCCACTCTTTAAGACCATTGCTCAACTATAGGGCCAACAGTTCACGTGCTATTTACCAGAGGCAAACAAGTTTTACAGCAGCAGAAAAATCACACTAATTTCCACATTCAGTAAAGATATTGTAAGTTGTAACGTGGCCTGTCAAAGAAAAAGGTTTAATTTTATACGGCATCAATACACATCTTGACACAATGGACAAGGCTTAATTTACAAGAAGATTCTACTTTAAACTGGAAACTATAAAGATTGATCTTAGTATCCACTATCCAGGCTAAAACCCTGTACCTTAATTACAACCATAGCTTATTTCCACTCTTTTCTGACTCTAATTTCCTTCCAAAACTATCGGGAATTGGTAAAAAATACTACAACTCCACTAGCAGTGGAAAACTCGTACTAATTTCCACATCCAATGAAGATGCTGTAACTTAACCATTCAAGGAAACAAATTGAGTTTTATTTAGCACCATCGACGAATCAGCAAAGTAGACAAGCCTACTGAATCAAGAACAAGCAACGTTTAAGCATTTACTACAAAGTCGAACAGAAAGCATTGGAATTAGAATACAACCAATAAACCCGATTTTCGCTAAACATACGAAAAGATTCTACTTCAAAACCAAAAAGATGAAGAACTGATCTCACTCACTACCAAAGCTAAAGTGACGAAATTCTCAGGAAAGATCAAATACTATCAAAATATGACCTAGAAAAATCAAAAAATAACAAAAAGCTTCATCTTTTACCTTATTCAACCTCTAAAAAACTGACAAAAAGAACCCAGAAAAAAATTTCACTAATTCCTCCTAAACGGCGAGTAATCCGACGGATTAAAAACAAATAGACAGTATCCTGTTTTCTCTCTACAACCCCAGAAAATTTAGCACGAATCTCCCATGAAAAGAAATGCGTCTGTAAATTCAAGACACAAAATTCAGATAATTTACATAGAGAGAAGAGAACCAGACCTGATTGGGTAGATCTTGAGCAGTAGAGAATCGGAGATAGTCTGAGAAGCACGAAATCGGAGAGAGAGCGAGCGAGAGAGAGAGAGAGTGGTGAATCAACTATAGGTGTTTGTATAGTCTCTCTCTCTCTCTCCTCTTGTCTTGCGCAAAAGGTAAGTGCACATCAGTCAATCTGGGCCGTTGCTTTAAAGCACGACTTGGATCAGCCCAAATTATACCCGACCTTTTGTTTTCGACCCGTTATGTTTAGTATTTCTTTTTGTTTTTTTTTATTGAACAAACGATAAGCAAATTAATCTTCACAATGGGCTAACAATAATATAGTTCAAATTCATCTTTGATGAGAATCAAACCTACCACCTCTCACCTACAAATGAAGAAGAATATCACTAGACCGTAATACTAAGGGCTAGTTTGGTATTGCTGTGCTTTGAAAAAAAACTGTTTCTGCTATGCTGTGAGAATAGGTTCATTTTTGCTGCTTCACGTTTTTAGCTTTTTTTTTCATCTAAAAGTTTGAAAATAAGCTGTTTTTAAGTATTTACCAAACACATTTTTTAGCTTAGCTCTTTTTTATACCCACTTTTTATAAACACCTTAGTATCAAACCAGTACTAAGTGCCATATTTAGTATTTCTTAAGTGGCTCGTTTTCTTGATTACCTAGGTTATTTATTTTTATTTTTTTCCAATTGACGGTCAAATTGTTTTTGTACAATGATATATTTACAACTAAAGAATAAATTGGTATTGAATTCGTTAATCTTAAGATTTGAATTTAAGATCTTACACTTACCATTACAGAAAAATGCTATTAGACCGTAAGTGATTTGACAGACGGTAGTATAATATACACAAGGCACTGCAAGAGCTACCCCAAATCTGTAAGGTTCTCTCATTCTATGGAAGTAACTAATAATAAATTGGATTTAAATACAGCAACGTGCAGAACGACATCATAGACTATGCCTTCTTGGTTGGTGAGAAGTAATGAGCAATACTAGGACCCCGTTTCACTACATTGTGCCGCTTGTGAGGCCGGAGCAAGGCACGAACTTCTTGTTGTATTTCTGGTGGCAGCTCATCGATGACAGAGGGGTCAATCTCATCGACATTGTAACTCCACGATGCTCCCGTTCTTTGTTCAATTTGAGACCAACCGGACACGCTAGAAGCCCCAGCTTCTTCAAAAGGTCTTTCTTTTGGCAGCTCAGATTGATTACTATCCAAACTGCTATCATTTCCAGACTGGGAGCCTGCAATATAACTCAAGTTTAGCAGGAGAGGCAAGGACGAGTCTTCATATTTCGATTTTAAAGAGAGAGAGAGAGAGAGGCAGAACACAAAGTTTACCAACAGATGGTGGTGCTTTACCATCTTCAATATTTTTAGCATGTTCTAGCTTCTGTGGAGCGCAAGATGGATCTTGATTCTTGAAGAATCTCAATATCGAAGATGTTCCCTGCCATACGGTATCATCATAAAGTTAAAACCAAATCTTCGACACACCCAACTGCCCATATACGAGCACTTGATGGCTGAAAAACAAGAAGACGACAACTTTGTTGCAAAATATATTCATTCTTTATCATTCTTGAGTTTAGGTAGCATTCATGACCTTATTGCAATGCCATAGACATAAAATGAATTAAAGAGACGGTAAAAAGGATTGATGAACCTTGTCTTTCAATGTTTTTCTTTTCAGCTCCGGTCTATTGGAACTAGGCACATTAACACAAGGTTCTTCCCCATAATTAATTTTCATTTGTCGACTTTGATTAATTCGTGAGCAGTGCTCGCTTCCTGCATAGATATCCTTCATTATACAGACAAAAGGAAAAGAAAAGCAGTAGGTGGGATAACCAAGAGTTACCTCCTGTGCAAGATACTACCTGAGGTCGACAAGGGTACAGATTCTTGGGTGAATTCATCTTGTATTTGATTTTCTGAAGAGCAACATGGATTCTGCAAATGAAAGAGTAAAACATGATTGGCATATTCCTGAGCAGAATCATTTCATAGGAAATGATGACAAATAAACAACTAAGCATGCAATTAAGTCATTGTAATTAGCATCGCACAGCATAGTATAATTATCATACAAAAATAGTGAAAATATGATAAGTGTTATTTGCCAGTGAGGTAATGCCATGGAAAGTAACTAAATTGAACACAATTGAGAAAGTGGGTAAAAAGAAAGTAAAGCAACTGTAGATTGGAAATTGAGGCCACGAGAGAAGAGTCACAATGGAGTCAATCTCATAGTCAGTTGAAGCACAGAGAATCTAAAGATGATACATTTCCACCCATAAAACACAATTACTATTAAATCTCACAGTATGTACATTCTGGTTGCTTAGATTTCAGGTACACAATTAAACGTACACCTCAAAAAATAATTGAAAAACCTGGTCATTCAACAAATCCTTTTTGTCTTCCAGTTGATCCAAACTAGGCACAGCATGCTTGATCGTGGTTTCTTCACCAGGGAACTCAATCTGTGGCTTAGTTACATTCACCTCCGGGTTGCTTTCTTTACCTAAATCCACAATTAGCTTCCATCAGAGTGATTAAGACTGATTTGAAACTATATTTAGTAATTACACACAAAGGACAACTAGGAGACTGGAAATGCCTGCAGGTGACAGAGGATCAGCTTCTTCAAAAAGGGTATCCTGTGTTTGCATTGTTGAAGAGCAAGACGTATGATTGCCATGAAAGTATTTCGTGATTGAAGCTGTTCCCTGCACGATGACACATTCGCATGGTAAATACGATGCTATAAAAAAATGGATTTCATTTGTCCAAATACTTCTTTTCCGATAGAATAGTTCACTTTCTTTAATATGCTAATATTCTGAAGCACCAACCAGCAGATAATGATTGCAAATGTTACACGGCGTTTTGAGAAAAAAGAATCAATGTCTAACGGTTCTTGTAAAATTCTTTAGGGCATGCTGCAAATGGCCATTTATAAGTGTTTTAAGCGGTTGAAAATAGGGCAGAGAGACCTAGAAATCAAAGTGGAAAGGTAGAAACAATGGACCAACCATCCACAATATACTAGGAACCAAGTTTGGTAACACTTACAGTTGGTATAGGAACAATTTTACTTGCTGAAACAGAAAGTGACGTTATTCCCCATTGGTTGTTTTGATTTCCTTGTATTTTGGCTGTGTATGAACCCAAGTATTCTCGTAATGCAGCTTGAAATAGACTAAAAGCATCTTCTTGTATCTTGGCAGTCCCATACCTTAAGGGACAAGACTTCGAAGGAAACTTCTTATGTGAATCTGAATCACTGGCCTGAAGGGTAATCATGGTCAGGACAAAGCAAAATGGAAAGAAACCGTACACAAAATTTAAGAGTATCTCCACTGTTAGGGGAAACTTTAATGGGATAAAAAAGAGAAGGTTCGAATACAAAACAGATAGGTACCTTGTATGCAGTACCATGCATCATTAGTGTGTGAGCTATCCTTTTGTTCTGGTCCAAGTCTGATAGAAGACGTTCACTCAATTCCTCGCAAAGTTGATTAAGCCAATGCTGAACCTGCAAAGAACCAAAAACCTGGTATGACGGCCATTGAAGAGAATATATTCTAGAAGCCCCTTTAATTCCATGTGTAACACAATGAGGAATTTCCCATATCCCTTAATTTTGGTAAATATATGATTACTTGAAAGAAAACTGAAATTTTGTAATGCTCGAACACCTATAAGCCACATTAGCCATTTCTGCATGCAATTTCTTGCCATTATGTCAATTCAAATGAGACTATGAGAGAACCAAAAGTCTGAAAAACTGTTAACCCGTGAATGCAGAGTTCCAGTACAACAAAGAATGTGTGCAGCTGAATACATTCTTGTAACTCGTCATGATGTCTATATTGAACTCAAAATTTTCAATAGAAGCAAGGAGACTAGGCATATTTATATTTCCCATTAGTTGAGTGACACTAAGGAGATTAAATCCCATGATAGCCTAGTACATGAGATCAAAATCATTCACCGCTAGTGCAAGCTACAAAGCAAATTTGTCTATTGGACAGCATTACTTACAGAAGCAATCGTCTTCAAAGCCTGAGGTCCAGGAAATGTCTTCCCAGAACCATGGCTTTTCGGAAGAAGGCGTCCCTCAACTTCTTCCCCACTGACCCCTCTAGCAATATTCCATAACCAGGTACTGTGATTCATGAATTATGTAGAGATCAGAAATGAGATCATGACAAGTTGTCATTCAAAGAAAATAATTCAATGATAGGTAGTCACCCAGTATTGATTCCATAGAGTTCTTGTAGTTTTGCTTCTGAAAACTGCAAAAGGTCACCAACAGTGTTAATACCCAGGTCACTTTGTAATGAATTACCCAACTTTCCTCCAAGCTGCTTCCTGAAAGCAAAGATTTCTTTACAACTATGCACTGTTTATTGGGAAATATAAAGCCAAGAAACATATAATTAAATCTGGTTTTATTTTGTTCATGCTTCAAGCAATGTAGTTTTGCAATGCAAGTTGTAGTCACGTAATGGGCATATCATTTTGATACAAATCTTTTATTCCGGGTAGAACAATCTAAAACTCACATTTTCTTAATTGGCAAGGGATCTAGCAATCCTTTTACAGATGAGGACGGAACAATAGTTTGTTGTGCAGGTTTATTCATACCACTTGCAAGTTTAGCCAGCATCTGATAACAATCACATATAGTTGATGACACAAAAATCAAAAATTCGTCACAAGGGTAAGTGTCCTTGACAACATGATAGTCCACAGAGGAAAACAAAATCAGAAAATTTGAGACTAAGGACCACTTTGGTTTTTACCTTATTATGAGCAATGCCAGCTGAACAAGTAAATTCAGTCTCCTTCAACACTTGCAACCTGAGTTCTGCAACAATGAGTGCCCCACAAGCTAATAGTTTATCACGTCGATCAACACTGCTCCTGCAAAGCCATTTTCGCACATTTTCTTTGGCATCACTGCTGTCCTGAATGAACCCAATTTCAGTATTATAACAGATTTCTAATGCAAGATGAGCATATATAAAACTAGAGGATCGAATAAATTGCACAATATAAACAACGTTAATAATAAAAATTGAGAAGAAAAATTAGGCCTACTAGAAATTTTCAGATAGTACACCATTATCCCCAAGTTCATTACCTAAGCTAAAACTTCATACTATACTATATGGTCAAAAACTGAATAAAAATAAACACAAACTCCAACACAAAGGAATAAATGCAGTAAGAGGCTCAAAAATGGTGTGCAAATGGATTTTAATCTGGGTATGTAAATGTTCAATATTACGTTGTTCTATTCTGCTTCATGATGCATGTTAGAGAGAGCTGAGAGGATGGAAAGAAGAAAGATAATCAAGAATCCAAGATCCATGTAAAACGTTAATGTTCCCTGAACTATTGATATATCCTGCTTCTCCAAACAAGCACCAATAAAAGAAAAAGAGATCAACTAAACACATTCATCATGTTATCTCATCAGGGAATTGGGGACATATTATCTCTGCCAACTTATGCTATTTATGATAATTCAAATTGACACTACGCATTAACATTAAAAATAAACATAATGCATTGACATGTGTTAACTAACCTCGCTAACACTAACCTCGCTTTGAAGCCCCAAAACATGCGACTTGAGAGCTTCCTCTTCAATTATTTCCAAGCTCTCGGGAGGAGCTTCCGCTAACATGGTTTCTGCTGCATCAGTAAGATCAAGATACACTTCGTCAATTGATGCCCTCTCACATCGACCCTTCCTTGCCAGAATAGAAACCACCTACAAAAAATAAGTTCACTATAAGTACAATTCTCTTAGAGAGTCGCTAATGATAAGAAATCCATAAGACATTAATATCTCTCAAACCATAGAGACCTCTGATCCCGCATTGCGGTATGTGCTCAAGTCAGCTTTACCACGTGCTACTGGGACTTGGACCAGCTGAATTTGTGGGCAAACTTGCTTTGACTCAGAACCTCGCATCGAACTGAAAATCATGCCTCAGTTGTAGACTCGACACAAAAAAAACTTTTTTGTTTATAAAAAAAAAAGGCACTAGAAGTTGTAACAAGAACACTATTATACCGTTTCACACCACATTTTCGGGCCTCATAGCTGACAGCAATCAAGGCCCCACCTTTCCAGGCGTTATACTGTACCACAGCTGTTGGTAAGCCCCTTAAATCTGGTTGTTTCCTTTGCTCCACTGTAAGTAAGATAGACGATATGACTCCACGACAAAACCATGGATACAATTCTAAGATTTAGCAAAAATGGGGCAGTAAGAAGAGAAAAATTCTCCCAACAGTGTTAACAGCATTTAATGAAATGTCCCAAGATAATGTGTAAGTTATATAATAATGACTTATCCTAATTTATCCAAACGGAATTAAACGGGTGTGTGGAAGCATTTTCCAATTTCCATAAGCTAATCAGTTCAACAATAACAATTTTAATCCCAATGAGTAGCTTTCGTATGTGTTGCTTATTGCTAGGCCATCATCAACCAAGTAAGGTAAATTCCCTTCTCAAGTCGGAAAATGTTTCATTTCTACGTGTTATTCATTGTCTACTAGCTTTCTACCAGCCTGTGAAACTTCAAGAGTTTACAACAATCAACAATTCACATTGACAACATTACATTTCAGCATTGTTCTGCTCAGAAAGGCGAAATCGGTCTCAATTTTCTCGATCGAAGGCCGGAAAGCTATGGTTTTTAGTAATTACATCACAATTTAATACAAATTAACCAAAAAACTCACATGGGAGTATCTAAAGACTGCATTTTTTTACTACCATTTATACATCTCCAAACCCTAACAGAGTAACAGTCCCCATTGAAAAATACAATTACAGACCCAGAGAGAGAGAGAGAAGGAGAGGAGAGAGAAAGGGACCTTGAACGTAGAAGCAGTCCATGTCGACGTGAGCAATGACTCTGGAATCAGAGGTTTCAGGCCTTGCCACCGGCATTTTCTTCTCTCTTCTTTTTCCCTCCAAATCCAATTTCTTCCAGTAATACGACCGGCGAATACTGTAGTGGGCGTAAGTTAGTAAAGACGTACGCCATTTGTCTAATGTGCACACAAGGTTTGCTCTCTCACATTGCCTTTGGGCTTTATGGAAAGCTTCGGCATTCGGACTACTTGGGCTTGAATGGGCCCACGAAATATTGCAAACGTCATAGTCTGAACTATTCATACTTAGGATCCTGGCCGGATCCTCTTTGTGAGGGTCCCGAAAATCCTCAAATCACATCCATTCATCGTACATCGTGCGGTTAGTTTTATTCAAGTACTGTTTATATTCAATTTTAAATAAAAAAAATTTACAATGATTTATGTTCTCACGATGTAAAATGAACGAATGTGATTTGATGATGAATCCTCACAAAGAGGATCCGGCGAGGATCCTCATTCTTCATACTTGGCTTACAAAGGTCGTAGTCTAAACTATTCATCTTTTTATTTCTTTTATTTTTATCATCATGTAATCATCTTGAGATTAATTAACTTAATTTTGGGACCTTTTAGCTCTCCACATGTTCTGAACAAATCGACGGTTATAATAACAAGTAGTATCTTTATAATGAAATGTCAACTTATTTGAATTATATGGATGACTAAATAGTCTCCAAATCAAATAAAACTTTATTGAGATGGCCTTTAGAAGATAATAAAAGGTTAAATTAGGATCCGCAATGTTTTTTTTTACTGAAACCTTTCAATTTTTTTTATCAAAGTTCTTTTACTTTTGTCCACATCAGCATTTAACTCGCCGACTCAACATTTTACATTAATTTATTAAAATAATCTCTTTCTCTTTCTCAAACTGAACCTAAAATAGTATTTATCACCTAAAGTTAAGGTGATTAATTTATATTCTTAAATTTCATTCATCTCTCTCCCACGCAACTCCACTCCATAAGAAGATAGCTTATATATATACGCAACTAGGTTATCTTCACAAAACCATATGAATATATAAAACTCGTGTCATGCCCCGATCCCGACATAAATTCAGGATCGACACGTGACGTCACCAAATACTCGTACATCTCACATATCCCGCCTCCGAGATATGGCAAATCACAACTCGAGAATCGAATTTCAAAGTAATTTTTCGTTTACTTTGTTTGTACCATACTTGACCAATCCCGAAACTCTTGAGCATCAGTCAACGTTATACCGTCAAGGACCCAGAAGAGTTTCCCTCCAACTAGGAGGCCAATCATAGCGCAACACGTGTCGACATCAGAAGCCAATCATAGCGTGACATGTGTAAACATCAGAAGACAATCACAACACGACACGTGTCAATGTCAGAACAAAGCTAGAAACTCTTTTATATAAAAGGAGATCATTCTCCCACAATATTTCCTAATGTCATTTGTACTAAATCATTCACTAGTACTCACTAAAGGAGAGCTTGAACCTATGTACTTGTGTAAACCCTTCACAATTAATGAGAACTCATCTACTTCGTGGATGTAGCCAATCTGGGTTAACCACGTACATCTTGTGTTTGCTTCCCTGTCTCTATCCATTTACATACTTATCCACACTAGTGATCGGAGCAATCTAGTGAAGGTCACGAACTTAACACTTTTTGTTGTACCAAAGTCCTCACCGATTTTGTGCATCAACATTTGGTGCCGTCTGTGGGAATCACACTTATTCCTACTCTCTTCAGCTTTGTCACGCTGGTTTCCACCATTCATACTCTCTTTTGACCAGGCATCCCTTTCCAACATGGGGAGCAAAGAAAGCCACATCACTTAGAATGACACCCCCTCGTACCTAGTGCGAAGCAACGAAAGAATGAACAAAAGAAGTTTGCTCTTCAGGTTAAAGTCGATGAGCTGGAGGCTCAAAACAACAAGATAGTGATAAAGAATGAGATCCTCCAAGAGCAGTATGAGAAGGTCTTCGAGATGCTCTACAAGGCTAGATATACTAAAACACACGAGCTCATCACCCTTGTGGAAGTCAACCATCAACTGGGTGCCCCCCAACACGAAGGGTCATTTGCCCTCGACATGGGTATTCCTTTAAGGAACGAGCTACTTATCGAAATGGCGACCAACATAAGACTTCTCTCAACCCAGCTACTTCGACCCAAAGCAGGAAAAGTGAAGGAATGCATCTCCTTACAGAAGGAGTAGAAGGATCGAAAGTCGTCTTTGACGACTGTCGAGACTTCCTAAAGCAACGTTGAGACAATCTCATCCATGTAAGCTCAAAGATCAATGACCCAAAGGTCTCTGAAAGACTCGGTCCCCTCCCATGTCCTAGGCTGGCTACCAATTTGGGGAAGAGGTAACAAGTCCTAGAGAAACACGAAGGTATATGAGACTCAGAGATGTTCCGACAGACATACCTTGGAAGTCAGTACGGCGAATCTAGGGAAAAATCACATGCTCTTGATTAAGCCTTCCTACTTCCAAGAGAATATGGACATTTAAGAAAGAAAGCTTTAGTGGTACAAGACTTCACTCATGACCCTCTTGTCTTATAGCTCCTTAAGGAAGTAAACAAGGTGAAGGCCGAACGACAAGCTGAGATACCTGATTGGAACTAACCTAGGCCTGGCCTTCTTACAAGAAGGATCATCGACACCCCCTCCAAGCAAAGACAAAGCAGAAGCTTGGCTTGCAACTCTATATTGTTTGTTTCTCAACACATTTTCTAGACCGATCGCTTGCACTATGCAGATGACTTGTACACTATTCGCCAGAAGCCAGACGAGTCATTACGTATGTATGTTGGCCGCTTCAGCCATGAGTATTCTCGTTGTGCCGAGGCAAACAACAAGATTGCCTTTAAAACCTTCACGGTAGGCCTATGTGACTGTTTCTTTAAGTATATGATCAATGCCAACACTTGGAAGACTTACTCTGAGGTGATGGTGCAGGTTTATAACCATGCATCCGTCGAGGTAAGGATATACCAAGAGAAACCCCCAACAACCATCCCCTATCAGCAAGTGAGGAATGGAAGCCAGACCAGCCCAAATGAGAAGACCTTAACCTTCTAAACTGCAGCGGTGCATCCCCTGCCTTACTTAATACTTTGCCAAGTCAACAAACATATCAATCTCAGGGAAAAAGGAAAGATTTCCATCTTCACCAGTTCCATTTTAGTAAAAGGAGTAAGGGAGACTACCGCGATAACCAAGAGTATCGCCACGATAATCCCTGACCCCAGGCAGTCAACACAGTGGGTCAACCACATGTCAGGACATGCCCTATGACACGTCCCGACCCTGATATTCTTTGAATACTCGGATAGGCACGTGCTGGCCAACACCTGAGGGTGACGAAAGCCATTTATTAATTACAAGAGTGATGATTAGGAGGAAATATTCATGAATAATCATTAGAATCTAAAAGTAATAAGCAAAGTTTAAGGAAGTATCTAGAGTGCATAGAACACATTCTAAAACAAAAATCACTAAAGGAAAGATCATTACAAGATATCACACAAGTGAGTGATAGATTACTATTGGTAGGGGAATGCCTTATACGTCGCGTTGTAGTCCTCGTTTCTAAGACCTGAATGGAGGCACAAAACAATGGTGAGTAGACCAAGTTCATATATACAATAATAATTAAACAATTATCAAGATACTAACTCCCACAGTTTATATAAAGAAAATGATGCGAAATTTATGTTGACACACAAATTAAACCCTATTTGTGACAATTGTAGTAATGATGTAAGTAGGAATCGTTCTAACCGGGGATTAACTAGGGGTGCTAATCTAATATAAGTTGATTTAAAAACACAAAAACTAAACTTAAAGATGTTGGAAATGTGCCCTAAAGCCAATCATGTGATGATACTTTACGGACATTTCACATGTTAAACTAATCTAGTTTTACATATAAAGGGCAAAGATTATTGTTTGAGCCGTCTCATATAAATGTTATATGCTTAAACGATAAAGTCCAAGGAATATGTGATTGGGAGAATGTAATCTAATGAAGTTAGATTCATGAGACCATTCTTTCGTAGACACATCCTAAATGTTCCTGATCATAGGATTGTCAATTGGGCATTGACAGTCCGTTAAGATCGGTACGTACTATGTCTTCTCTCAGGGAGAGTGATTAGTCTCGAGTCATTGGTGTGTGTGACATCAAGACAAGTACGTAGGTGCTCAATAGAGAATGAGTACACTGAACGTGATCAACGAAGAGTTCTCATATTCCATGTCACATAAGAACTCATGGTTGGGATAATGCAAAGTAGTAATTTGACCTAAGGCATCACAGTTGTCTTGTGGTTAAGTCCTTGATCTTTGATTATGTCAAAGTCACCCCCTCGGGGTGTCCACGGCATCGTTGGGGTCAAGTGACTTAGCTATGGAGACAAGTGAATGCGCAACAAGGGATCTCTAACCTTCAAACAGTTGAGGGAGAATACTCTATGATATGATTTAGAATCTCTGGCCAGAGTATGAATGAGATTAGGGAATGCGTTCCAAATCACATTCAAGTAAATCATATAAGCACAAGATTCACATTGGATAGTAGACATGAACAAATAAACTATCAAACCAAACAATGTGGTCAAGAGTATTAGATTAGAGAAAGACCGTATTGCATTTGTAATCCCGAACTGAATAGGTTCTCTAACCTCTTCTGATTAGCTTGGGTAACCATGACATGCTGCTAGGTGTCAACCATGGTTTGTGGAAGCCCTAAACGTGTGTAATCACTAAAGGGAGAATTGAAAAATAGTTTCAATTCACAATCGATGTAAAATGGTTTTAATCGCCCACTACCTCGCTAAAAGGAACCTAATGGATCGCACACCATAAAAGGTAGAGATTGGAGATTAAACGGAAATGAGTAAGAATGATTAAATGGTTTAATCATTTATTTATGGCAAGGATTAATTAATATGTTAATTAATCAAACGAATAAGTTCGTTAAAGACTTCGGGATAGTTTTGGACCTTAAGGCCCAATGGGCTTCGAACGTCAAGCCCATTAACTTAAGTTGTATGACAATTTAATGAATAAAGATTCATTAAAGCCCAAAAGCCCAAAAATCCCAATATGGCCGGCCATAGTGTG